TACTTTTGTAGAGATACCACCTTGGACACCCAAGGAGGGGTCGGAAACAACTCGACGACTGTGAGTTTGCTTTTTTAATCCTGATGGAAACCCACTGCCACATCTTACTACTGCAGAGTGCTTGGTGGGTTCAAACAGCCGACCTTTCAGTTAGAGCTAAGTGCTTAAGCACTGCACCATGTTGTTGTTGTTGTTGTTAGGTGCTGTTGAGTCAACTCCAACTCACAGAGACCCTATGTACAAAAGAACGCAACACTGCCCAGTCCTGCACCAGCATGATATCCTTGTCCAGGAAATGGTCCCTTCTGACAACGTGACCAAAGTAGGTGAGATGAAGTCTGGCAGTTCTTGCTTCCAAGGAGCATTCTGGCTACATTTGTTGTAGGACGGATTTGTATGTTCTTCTGGCAGTCCACGGACAGTGTTTATACTGTGTATGAATCACCTAGCTGCAAATATCTTCTCTCACTTTGTGGTACAGTGGACAACAAAATGTGCAATTTATCATGATACTTGAATTCACCGATTTTTATTTCACTGTGGATAAATTTCTCAATCTTTTCCTTTACATTTTGCTTTTATTTCTTGCGACCCCTCTCCTGACCTTGAGGTAATCATGATATTCTTCTATGTTGTCTTCTAAAAACGTTTGAAAGTTTTCTTTTCATATTTAGGTTTTTAATCTACATGGGATTATATTTTGCCTGTGTATAGTGTGAAATAGAGGTCCAATTTCATTTATTTTCCTTATAGCTAACCCCCTTTGGGTTTCCGAGGCTGTAAGTCTTTATGGGTATAGATTGCCCAGTCTTCCTTCTGTGGAGTGGCTGGTGGGTTTGAACCGCCAGCCTTCTGGTTAGCCAGTCAAATGCCTTAGGCACTACACCATCAGAGCTCCTTTTAGCTCAGCAGTTTTCCTAGTACAGTTTATCAAGTTGTTCATTATACTACCTTCCTGTTACGTGCAGCTCTACCTCTGACTGATGGCAGGTACATAAGACTGGGTCGGTCTCTAGCCTATTTCTAAGGCTTACTTGTGTAATCTAGGGTCAATATCACACTGTCTTATTCTCTCCAACCTACTAGTCTTCAGAACTGTTTTGGCATTTTGAGGTGGTGGTTATTGGGAGTTCACCAGAAAATTCTTTTCACTTTTCTGTATGTGAAATTTTTCATAACAAAAATACTAGAGGAAATTGAGCTTTGCCTCTTCCGGCCTTTGCTTCTATCCCGATGTGACTGTTAGGGGCTCGGTTTTCAGACTGAACCAGCTCGCAGAAGCCCTAGTCCTTTGTTGGATGAGTTTTAGAACAGTACGCGGATCTCCCACATTCTGGTAAATATTAAAGATGATTTGTTGGGGGTGAAGCAGCGCTGATCTTAGTACGCATTTCGCGGCCAACGGAAGTGCCTTCTCTGAGGACCCATACTGTCTGCCCCACTCAGGTGCTGCGTGTGTACTGATCCGTCCAGTCTCGGGTCCCCAGCCCCGCTACCTGCTCCTTCCAGACCGTGCCTCAGTCTCCCTGTCTGCCTCCCACGCCTATCTCGGGATTTCTACCAGAGTTTGGGGGCTGGAAGATGCCTTAGAGAAAACCCGGAGATCCACGCCCTGGTCCGGCTGGGAAATGGAGGTCCGGAGAAGAAGCCCATAGGTCCGTCAAGCCCCAGCAGAACAAGGGCCAGCTTCCAGGCCCCATACGTCTCTCCAGACAGTTCCTACCCTTCTCACGCCCGGGTCTTGCCTCGGTCTCCCTCGGTCTTCGGTTCCAGCTTTGCCCTTGCCTGCTTGACAACCTTTCAGGCTGCAAGCACCTCCCCTCTCTGACTTCCCGCCTCCGCACAGAGGCCCCGTCTCCGCAAGAGCCCCCCCTCGGCTCCGCCCCTCTCTGACTTCCCGCCTCCGCACAGAGGCCCCGCCTCCTCAAGGGCCCCCCCGCCCGGCTCCGCCCACTCCTCGCCCTCC